CATACACGCTCCCCTTGACAGTGAAACGCCACGCGTGAGGTTTAGATTATTTCCCTGTCTCAATCCAAATTGAACTGTATGAAATAAAAAGGCACATTTGTCTTGTAGTAAATAAAAAGGTCGACCTGGAGCCAATCCTGCAATTTCCCCACAGGTGAAAGAGTTGACATGCTGAAAACCCAACTTCTGTAGGGGGGTCTGGGGGGATTCTCCCCCAGGAGATTTTTTGAAATACTAACATAAAATACACATTCTGGTACACTCTTGAGAATACAAATAAATAAATCTATTACTACGCGACATATTTAAAAAAAATGAATGCCATTTTAGTTTTGTGTTACTTTGTTCTGAAAGCTGAACCTGCTGCTCCTCACAGAGAGAAGAGGGAAGAGGCTGTGAATTACTTTACATTGTGGATAAGGGTGGATAGCCCCCAGTGTTCTGTGTGTCAAAATGAAAGACAGCCCACACACCTATGAATCATCAAACCGTGGAGTCTCATTTCATTATGTGTTGATTTCTATCAACACGTAATGTTGTATCGATGTATATAGAGATGTACTACAGCAAAAGTATTCTCCGTCGGGACTTCCTGCAACAACACCACGCCGTTATGGTGATTCTGATTGGCCAGAAGACATTATCAAAGATGTTCTATTGAGAAGAGGATCACTACGTGACAAAAAAATTCAAACCGTTTATAGTCTTCGGTATTTACTGCTGTCTGTGCAATTTACTCCGCGCGAGTTGGCGGACTTTATTTTGCTTACTTTAAAATCTTTTTTCATGGTGGGGCTAAGCCATTTCTTGGTATGGCTGTAGCGCCGCCACTGAACATAATAATGAAACAGTTAAAATGTTGTATTCAGCCCTGATTAAAACAGCGAGCCCAAATCCTGAATGGGCGGGCCCAAATCCTGGATGGGCGGGCCCGGCCCCATGGGGCCCGCCCATGACGCCGGGTCTGCGCTGAACCTGTAATAAGTGACCCGACAGTAAAGACTAAATATATTTATAACTAGTTTAGCTAGTTCAAGAGTAGATTTACCAGCTAAGTGTGTTAGGTCTAACTCTTAGTGTATTTTGGTCCGCTCACCGGTCCGTCACAGCGGCGGAGCTGTGATCATGCAGAGCTGCGTGTTCTCCGTCAGCAGCAGCTGATCTGATCTCTGATCTCTCTCTCGTGTCCGGTTATACTTCATTCGCGTTTTTGTCCAAATCTATCAGATATAGCTAATGATATGACTGCCTGCTTATCGAAGGACCTAAACAACAGCGTGTGGCCGCAAAGTATGGCGCAGCATTATGCATATGGGGGGTCAAAATCCCATGCTCATATATTTGTTTCTCTTCATTTCCCACGCCCCAAAATAAATAAATATACCAATTTTAGGAAAAGTATCGAAGTTAGAGCAGTGTGGGTATTATATGAACAGAGTTACACATATTTCAAAACGCGAAGTGTAATAACTGCAGTTTGCCTCCCTGTGATCGAGAATGACAAAGATCCTCAGTGAAGCACAAGCCCATGTTTCTCACTACATTGTAGGCTAAGTACAACTTATTAAAAAGATCAGTTCAATGCAACTAATGTCGTCTTAGTGTTATTGCATGATGTTAAAATTGGTTTGCCATGAATTTAGTGATGGATTGTAAACATTTGAAATGTAGCTTACGTGTTTCTCAGTTACAAGGTTGTTGTTTTAATAAATCAGACACTGATGGTGCAGCGCTGTGCTGTACCTCTTTATATAGGCATTTTGTCCCTAACAAATTGTTTTTGCGCTGATCAGTGGGTACTTGGCGGAATATTTTTTTCAAAGGGGGTACATTATTGAAAAAAGTTTGAGAACCACTGCAGTAGAGCACCAGTTATAAACTTCAACGGAAACAACAATAAAATATATCAAGCAACCCAAAAAGGTAAAAAATGTGGTAATAAATTAGAAGCAGTTGTGGTTTAAATTAAATATGCGTATCCAGGGAAGAAAACTGATAATATTATTGTTTTAAAATGACTAAATTACCTAACGATGCTTCAAATGAACGTCTTCCGTCACGTTATAATTCAGCTTTGTCTCATTTTAAACCAACAGTTATATGTATTGAAAGGGGAGTGTGTGTGTGTGTGTGTGTGTGTGTGTGTGTGTGTGTGTGTGTGTGTGTGTGTGTGTGTGTGTGATGGTGGTGGTAAGGTGTGAGAGCCCTGGGGAGTTGGCTATATCCTTTCCAACTGGATATGACCACCAAATCGTGTTTCTAATTATTCTTCAAAAATAAATAATCGGTATTTCTTTCTTGATGCTATAAATTATATTTATTAAACTATGCTCGAGTATTATATAATAAACTAAGTTAGTAAGGTAATACAACCATAACCACAGAGATAATGATTTCCAGTTAATAGTTCATTTCCAACACAAGAAATAGAAGACTTTTGATTGTTGTTCTGCATTTTTGTTGATAATGACAAAACCTGACACTTTTTGTAAATGTTTTATTTACTGCGTAAAAAGTATCGCCGCATTACGATTTCAATTTAATTTAGACCACCAGGAGGCAGAGTCCTGCATCGGGTCGGGTACCCGCGGGTACCCGATGGGTGACCCGCAAAAAAGGTGATTCGCGGGTGGTATTTTTTCAAACGCTTTTTTCCGGGTTCGGTTCTGGGTAAAACAAAGATGATGCGGGTCGGGTCGCGGGTATTGCATAATAAATATATTAAAATAATAATAAATTAGTTTAATGTTTAAAATCCTCAGACCTCTCCCCCGCGGGACCGCGCATAATCATAACCTCTGCAGCGCATCAATCTGCTGCTGTGCGCGCCACATTTGAAATGGCTGAGGTGAAGCTCTCTAGCGGAGAATACAGCATTTTCAATAACACTTCCTCAAGAGCGAAATCCAACGTCTGGGAGGCTTCTGGTGTCATCCTAGATGGAGGAAATAACCAACATCCCACGCTTTCTGAGACAAATATGAAACTGTGTGTGTTAATAATTGCACGTTTTCACTGTTCATAGGCTATACGGGTTCGGGTCGGGTTGCGGATCTTGTGCCGACGGGTCGGGTCGGGTTGCGGAACTAATTGGCAATATGTGCGGGTAGCGGGGCGGGTTCGGTATTGCACGTCGCGGGTGCGGGGCGGGAGCGGGTCTTGAAAATCAGACCCGTGCAGGACTCTGCCAGGAGGCAGTTTGAAGAGATCTGGTTTTTATACTTGGACTGGGGAGGAAATAAAAAATACAATTCTCATTAGGAACTTCCAGTGTGATGAAAGGTCTGTCTCAATAAGACAAAGGTGAGCGGACACTCCCTTTACAGAATGAAGCAAGTTTGAGTTCAGTGTATTTTGCAATTCAATTCTCATTCATGAAATAAGTTGAATAACCAATAAGATAAGAAGAAGCTTCTCACCTGATCGGTCACCTTTTTATCTCATCTGCTCAGTGACTTGTTGTGATTTGCTCTGAGTCATGCCGGATGTTGTGTCTCTTCATTATGAAACAACATGGTTGACATAAACGCAGTGACATTTGGATTCCTTAATTCCTGATAAATGTCAGTTTCTATCGACACAGTCATATCATGTAATTATGCGTTTTAGCATTGAGGTCATTCTTAGTGAAGGTTTTGGACTGGATTGCTATAATACAAATATAATTAAATGAGAACAAATGTGGTGTGATACATTTTGACAGGAAATTGGTCAAGGGAAATGGTCTGAAAAATATGTAAAAATGTCAAATAGATGTGATAATTAAAAGAAAACTGAGATGTAAGGAAAATGTGGGACCAAACAAAGTTTAAAAGAAACCTTGGAAATACAAGGGAATAGTACAACAAACATGAAATTAATCTAAATCCTAAAGCAGGATAAACAAAGTTGCAAATCTAATGTGTGACACTTTTGTTGGTCTTCATGGAGCAACACTGTAAAGATAATAAAAGGGGTTTTCTGTTTAGTTTTGTATTTACCCTGTTAATAACTGATATTTTTCGTCAATTTTCGATATTTTTACTGGCAATAAGTGTGTGTGTGTTAAAGCACCCAGATATTGTTCTAAACTGTATTAAAGTAAACAGGTATTATCTTGAACTGTATTGAAGTGAACATGTATTATTTGGGACTGTTTAAAGTAATCCTATATATATATAAACCTTCTTACTTACACTCCATAACCCAGAGACCCTGACACACACACATACACTTCCTCCCATCAGCAGACACACACACATACACCTCCTGTCTCCATGCAGCACACACACATAAACTCCGTAACCCAGATATCAGCCCCCCCCCCCCCCCCCACACACACACACACACACACACACACACACACACACACACACACACACACACACACACACACACACACACACACACACACACACACACACACACACACACACACACCAGCAGCACACACACATACGCCTCCGCTTATCAGCATGCACACATACACTTTCCCTCACTAACACACACAGATGTTCTTTTTCCAAGGTTCTTTCTGGGGCGAATAATCCCAAGCACCAATATATCTGTGTACAATGTTTGATTGTTTTAAAAGAATAGTTTGTGTGAAACCTTCCCTGGGAAATTAAAGGAGTTGGGTCCGGTAGAAGATAAGAAGTGGCTCTCCACCTCCAAATATGTCCATATATACTGTTGTTTCTTCATGCAAAATACCCCCTGTTTCTGACTGGCTGGTCCCGATATCTGTATCGCACGGCAGTAGAGCGGGGAGCCCGGAGTGTTCTGTTACAGGGCACTCTGTATTTCGTATTGTGTTTTTTACTGTATTAAAATCAGATTATTGTTATAACTTTTATGCCGGTGTTTTGAACTCCTTTTATTAAATCTGACCAGGCTCATCTAAAGGACGGCGCGGAGCAGATGTGGGCTTTAAGCCACCACTATTGTGTTTGCTCCTACAGTGTGTGTGTGTATTTAGCAAGTAGATTAACTGTGAAGACATGATTATTGAAAAACAAATAGTTAATGTAAGGAGACAACTCCTCCCTTTTAATTCTTATTTGTTGTACACATGTCTTACACACATGTTTAGAAATCCATACCTCTTATATTTCCTCACACACAAAACTATAGCCATTCACTCAAAAAAAAACACACACACACACACACACACACACACACACACAAAATGTAGCTGTCGTGCTGAAGGAGGTCTTTAGTTTTTTGCAGGTTGTGATCAACAGCTCCATCTAAGAACTGAACCCATGTCAGCTGAGATTCCCCGCATACATGACTGCACCTGAACAGAGGGGTAAACATACAGTGTTATGTATAACAAATACAATAATAATACTAAATGAAAAGATAATACAAATTAAGTTCATTTCTACTAGGCTTGAGATTTTTATCATTAAAATTCCCATTTTATATCATGTATATTACACATGAAATACAGTCTGAGCAAAAGAATACTACATATTTACATATGAACTTCAAATATCAGAAGTATTATAATCAGGGCTGCACATAACTGGTGCGCAGGTGCAAAAGAGCACCGGATCATTTGAAAAAAGGCGCATTTGCGTACCAACATTGAGAGAGAGAGAGGAGAGAGAGAGGAGAGAGGGAGAGAGAGAAGGGAGAAGAGAAAAGAGAGAAGGGAGAAGAGAAAAGAGAGAAGAGAGGAGAGAGGAGAGAGAGAAAGATATTTGCGAGTTGCATATGAACCTATGATATGAAGTCAGGGTCGGCCCGTAGCACTGGCGTTATAGATGTTCGCCTAGGGCGCCAGATCTGTGGAGGCGCTGCGCTGGCAGCTCTGGGAGGGGAAAAAAACGTTTTGACCGTTGGTGCTCATCCTAATTTTCGGCCTTGATGTAACAATATTCATAATTAAGTAAATGTAACACCCTTTTCACCCCGGTTACACGTTTCATTTGCCCTGTACGATGGGCGCTGTAAGTGATGAAAATGGGGGATGTTGGCTTATCTGGCACCCGCAGCTCACAGCCAAAGTGCGAGTGAGCGTGGGAGCGAGCGAGGGTGCTCCGGTTCCGGCGCTGTTGTTATTAGAATCTGGTGCTAGCTGCTTTAACGGATATAAGAAGAAGATGTTTCTACAATGATGTGGAGGGAGAGTCCTCTCCAGTCAGACTGAGAGGCTGATAACTACAGCTCAGTGAGGTAAAGGACTCTTGAGTGTTTAGATAGTTCACTTTAGTCTAAGTTATCTCAGTGGGTCTCAAACGTTTTGATCACAATTTATGTAAACACATATTTCCAAGGCACTCCTTTATAATTATTGGGATAAACAGGTTTGAAATCATTCCAATGTATACTATAGGACAGTAACCAAAAATATCCTTTAAAACTGGAAAGATAAGAAAAAAATGCATAAATAAATAAATGTTAAGGTAAAATAAGATATGAACAACAAAAATAAAATAAGTTACATTAATTTGTTATTGGCTATGGTAGGTTATTGGTTATGTTCACATACTTATTTGATTACATCCACTTGTCTAATGGCGCATTTCCACTGCAGCGGGTAGCCCCGTTTAAGCGTCCTTAAATCGTCCTCAAGCGGCCAGGCCAGTTTTTGGTGGCCTTTCCATATAGCATAGCACCGGCTAGCGGGTACTTTTTCCCTCTTTTTCCGGCCCCATAAAATCGTGGTTCTATCAGGCCAGGGCCAGGGCTGAACTAGTGACGTCAACACTCTCGACTGCTGATTGGTCAGCGAGAATCGTCACAAGATCGCGCGCGAGATCACCCCTGGCGTCGCATATATATCGAGAAGCAAGCTTGCAGCATTTTTATACACAGCATTTTTGTAAACGGAGGAGCTACAAAAATGGCAACGTCAAAGAAAAGCACACCGTGGTCGACCGAGGAGGTGACGACGTTCCTACATCTCATTGGGGATGATAAAATCCAGCGGGAGCGCGACGGAACAACTCGAAATGTGAAAAAAAAAGCCGATCGCCCCGCCTACACTGCGTTGCTACCCCAGGTCCTAAACTGTAATGGGAATGCGCCACGGCCTCGGACGGCCAGCGAGGCAGCCCGAGGCCTGAGCGAGGACGCTTAGGGACGCTTAAACGGGGCTACCCCGCTGCAGTGGAAATGTGCCATAAGATGAAAACAGACACTTTCGACCCAAACCCAGCTTTTGACTTGTGGATGCAAGCATCTAATCACAGACTCAACCAGAGAGAAAGAAGTAGGCCTACATCATCAGTTACCATGTCTGACAGAGAGGAAGACAGTGAGAAGAACAGTCAGGAGGGTAGTGATGACAGCTTGTAGGATTACTGGTCGTGCTAATGTTGTCTTGTGTTCACCTCTGCATGTGTGTTCTGTGTTCACCTCTGTGTGTTCTGTGCCGTGTGTCTGGCAAATAAAGTCAAGACCCCCTCAAAAGTTACGGTTTATTTCATTTTAAGGATGAGCACCAAGCAACATCTCCAGGTGCTCCTTTGAGAACCAAGGTGTGAAGCTGACCGTTGAGCGGCCCAGACCAAGCAAGGAGGCAGAGCGTCCAAAAATATAACCCGACGTGGGCATTTATTAAAATCATGTGCACAAAGTTCACAGCCTCAATCCTGCTGTTCTCCTTGCACACATCCTGCAGCCACAAGGATCTCACACACACTACCAGCCTCCCAACAGACAGGGAAACAGAGCCTAAATACACGCACTAATCAGCACAACAAGACACAGGTGAGGGGGGGAGGAGACAACGCAGGACACCAGGTGCACACAATTACCCGGCTTGAAGCAGTCAGTCCATAGTGACGAAGTTACCTTCGTCACATTTCCTTCCCCCTCTCCCCAGGAAGCACAGTGTCTTTTGCAACCTCCTTTTCGCTCCAATCCTTGGGTTTCTCCTCGGCTGGGACCCGTTTCTGTTCGTCACGACAGCGTTCCCGCTCCTCGATCTCCTGTTGACGAGCGCGCTGCTTTTGTTCCTGCTCCTCGAGTTTGCGCAGACGCTCCTGGTACTCCCGATCCTCCTCCTCTCGCTGCTCATGTTCAATGCGTTCAGCCCTCTCAAAGTAGTCAATCTTTTTCTCCTGGTTCTTCAGGCGCTCCTGGAGTTCCCTCTTCTCCTTCTCCAGCTGCTCCACCTGCTTGTCTCTCGTCTCCTGCTGCTTGTTTCTCGTCTCCTGCTGCCTCAACAGCCGTGGCCCCCTGGTCTGTTCCAGGCATAGCCACCCCCAGCCGCGGTTCCTCTCTTTGGTCCCTCTTCTTTCCTCTCATAATTTCACTTCCTTACTTGGTCAAATCCCACTTCTGACACCAATTGTGAAGCTGACCGTTGAGCGGCCCAGAGCAAGCAAGGAGGCAGAGGCAGAACGTCCAAAAATATAACCCGACGTGGGCATTTATTAAAATCATGTGCACAAAGTTCACAGCCTCAATCCTGCTGTTCTCCTTGCACACATCCTGCAGCCACAAGGATCTCACACACACTACCAGCCTTCCAACAGACAGGGAAACAGAGCCTAAATACACACACTAATCAGCACAACAAGACACAGGTGAGGGGGGGAGGAGACAACACAGGACACCAGGTGCACACAATTACCCGGCCTGAAGCAGTCAGTCCATAGTGACGAAGTTACCTTCGTCACACAGGGCAAAAAAGTTATGTGCACCCCGGATTATAATCACTAAACATTAATGTTACCTGATGATCTCAAGAACTTTCTTTAACAGTGCTCCCAATTTAGAAACCTGCAGAGAGAAAAGAAAAGTCCTTTATATGTTAATATGAATATTGAATGACACGTTTCATAATATTCCTAAATACTGTATAAAGGGTAAAGACCACCTTTAACTGCTCTAAACATGCTCTTTTGAAGTGTGCATATTTTACCAGGGTTTGTCTTAACCCTGTCAACAGAGTTTCCAGTTATGTATGAAACTTTAAAAAGGTGCGGCTCAGCAATTGAAGCACACGCGTTGAGCACCAGGAAAAGCGCTTTATAAATGTAATGTATTATTACTAAATAACTGTGTGTGTAACACACATCTGGTTTTCCTACAGTCCAACTCCAACACGAGTTGGACTGGTCTGACCTCTGTGTCCCTTTGATAAGGAGAAAAAGAGCTGCTGCTGATCTTAATCAACACGTAAAAAGTGAATAGTTTTCTCTGGAAGTAGAACAAATAGCTGCTTCGAATACCACCGACACGGATAACTAAACAATGGGGACAGACACGGATAACTAAACAATGGGGACATTGGCTCAAGAAAGTGAAGCTGCTGTTCAAAAGAATAAAGGAGCCTCATTTTCAGGTTGCATGTTGTGCCTCTCCTGTGACATGTCCCCATGCTTTCATGTTCAAAAAGCTCTTATTTATAAAACAATTCCGCCTGCCGACAAAGACCTAAATGGACATATTAGTCATTGTTCTGTGGAGATGTGACTCGTCTGCACACCCGTCGTTGCTGGAAACACGACTATACATTGTTCACAATTGCAGGAACAGTCAAGCCACACCATGCCTGAGAAGAGCACAACATGTACATATGGCACATAAATGCCTTCAGAAAACATAAAGTTGCAATTTACATCAGTACACATATTGCATACTGTATATCAAAATATTACAGGCGTAATGAGGGAGTGTGTGTGTGTGAGTCTTGCATTGTCTTGTTCCATTGTCAAAAGATATCTCATTTTGATGATAAGAGAGAGATTACTGATTATTGACATGGCTGATCCCTCGTTAAGAACAATTAGGTATATTGTAAGCCGAGGTATACCATCAGAGATTGGTGTGACATTTTTCTAATTACAGATGTTAGAGGTGTGTGTGTGTGTCTTACATTGTCCTCTACTCCGCTATAGTCCATGGGTGGATAGAGACAGAGAGCCAGATCAGCGACACTGAGGAGGAAACAGGAAGAGGCAGAGATTTGTTTTGACTGTTCCATTATTGGACAAAAATGTTGATTGAGTTTGTTTAAAAAAAGAAAAGAAAAAAAGCTGGCCGAAAGTTAAATGAAGATTGGTGTTGGGAAAATACAAAATCGCTCTTCTAATATCAGAGTAGCACATGATAACAAAGGCCCTGCGTAGCTGTGTACGTAACAGGATGTATGATTACCAGAAGAGCGTCAGGACTGTTTTAGGCATATAAAAAACGTTGTTGTCACAATAGTTGTCTATGTGACAATAATTCACATGATGATTCAGACTCTATGGAGATAGACATATGACTGTCATGTTTATTTCTTACGTGGGCCTCAGCTAATGAACCGGTATTCTGCGTCTTGTGACTGTAACACCCTCTCTTGTATATCAGCATGTCAAGGACTGATGACTACTTCCATTCTTGCAAGGATAATAAATACATGTATCCTGATATTGAAGACCAAGCTAACAATTGGTTATGAACAGAGCAAATCAAACAGACCAACCAAAGGAGTTTATGTAGCAGATTTGTGCTTTTATCCATTCGTCACTATGATGAACATACATTAAAAATGTGCAATAAAAAATTCATAAAATACAAATAACTATACAAACTAGGGCTGTCAGTCGATTCAAATATTTAATCGCATGATATCCATTGTTAATCGCAAATGAATCGCACATTTTGTATCTGTTCTAAATGTACCTAAGAGGATCTCTCTCTCTCTCTCTCTCTCTCTCTCTCTCTCTACCTTTTTTTTGTATCCATATCTCTCGCTAGAATCTCCCACATCAACAACAACAACAACAACAACAACGTCAAGCCTTTGGGCTCTGAAACTACGGGGCGGGCCGAGGACAAATACACATGCGTGAATCGCACGTTAAAATCATTTTGCATTATGGGAACTCCGACTGAGAAGTTCCCTGTGTGTGTGTGTGTGTGTGTGTGTGTGTGTGTGTGTGTGTGTTCCTACCCAGGACTGAGTTCCTTGGTGATATCGGCCAGGTCATCGAGCTGAGCCACGTTTTGAGGCGTGGAGACGTCCCCGTGGGTTTTGACGGCAGACGTCAGGTTCCTCAGGCACACCGCGGACGCCTTCATGAGGCCCTGACACGGACCAATCACAAGGCGGTCCTTCTCCGGCCAATAGGTGTCCTGGTTACCTCGAGGCTCCTGGTCATCGTCCAGGACGTCACTGAAGGGGTCCTGAACCTCCGATAACGCCTGAGGGGGGAGGTATTCAGTGTACTAGAGTAGTATACAGTTACCGTGAATGTAAATACTCATGTGAAGTCATTCAAAATGTATTTGAGGTCTGTTGTATGGCTTTAAAGTGAAAGAAATACTCAGATCTTTTGACTTACATTCCAAAATGGCTACTTTCAGAATATTATATATTCAATTACTTGATTATTATTATGATTATTGAAGCATGATGTTACTGTGATTCCTCTCCCACCTGCTCCTGTGTATTATAAAAGTGAAATTGACCTCTTGAAAATATCTGCTTCTAGTGTGTGAGTGTACCTGTTCTATTTCCTCTATGGCATCTTTAACAACTCCAATCTGAGCGGACAGAACCACCAACAGAGCTGCCTTATTGTCTGCAGAATATAAAAACATTTCCATCACAAAGCTTGAAATTGAAAAACTAGTTGTGATTCCCTGTAAATGATTCAACACAATGACAGTAGAAGCATGTCGACATACATTTGACAATATTCATGTTTTATGTAACTGTGGTGGAATTGAAATGCTGTGTTTTGCTAGACAGAACATGAAGACAATAACACTTGTATATTAAATTGAGTTTAACTTAAGAAAACTAATACAATGATTTCAAATGGATCAAGTTAAAACTGTCTTTGGGCAAGTAGATGATTTTTTCTTTTTTAATCCTGTTCAGACTACTGACCTCGGGGCAGCTGGGTTAAGCTGTCGCAGGCAGACCAGACGCCTCCGGTTGAAGTTAACTGTTCATGAGACAGACTGAAGGAAGGGAGGAAGAGATTGGGAGGAATTTAAATTAAATTAAAAGAGGGATACAAAACAGAGAGGGAACACAGAGTAGCTGAAAACACAACTGTAATACTCCAGGACCAGTGTCTTCAACTTAAATCTGTTCTGTTCTTTATGATCTTAAATCAAAGTGCATTTAATGTGTGTGTTAGTATTAGGGATGCTCCGATCGATCGGTCACCGATCGAGATCGGCCGAAACTCACTCTCTACCGATCGATCGGTGCTCTCCAAACATGCCGATCGCATGACGTAAAATACATGACACTTTTCTCTGTGTACGGCAAAACAAGCTCGCCAAAATGGCTTCACCGGTCTGGCATTATTTGCGGTATGCAACGTGTGTGAAGCAGAAATCCTGCAGCTCCGCCCGCCGGACAGGTAAGCGCAGCGAAACACACACATAGGGAGAACCAGACCGTAGTTCATTTCCTCATATGCCAAACGAGAAATGATGGTAGCAAATCACCCGGTTCTTTACGACCAGAACTATTAACGGGATACAAACCGGAGGAACCAGGCATGGAGGGAGGTGGCAGAGACAGTGGGTGAAACTGGTAGGTTTTCGCCTGTTTGGGGAGTTTATATATATATATATTGCTCGCATAAAATCCCCGGGGTTTTTTGCTTTGTATGTCGGGGGCGGGAGATTCATGTGATTGGTTGTTGGTCGCAAAAAATCCCCAAGCGTTCAGACACGCCCAGCTCCAAGATTTTCAAGATTTTTGAAAAGCTGCTGTGTGGACGTACCGTAAGAGTTAGACCTAACACACTTAGCTATTTTATCTACCTCTGGAACAAGCTAAACTAGCTATTATATATGTATTCTTCATTGTCGGGTCACTCATTACTGGATCAGTGAGCTGCATGAGATACTGACAGGCTGTCAGGAGGGGGGAGAGAGAGAGGGGAGAGAGGGAGAGAGGAAAAGAGAGCGCTTCCGCTCATCTCTCCCGTGTTATTATCCAAAGTGAATGTGAACTTGAATAATGTACATCATTTGAATGTAATAATTAAGTTGATTGTTGTATGTGGAAGCTCCAGTGAATGAGCCCCATTAACTGAGTTTTAAACATCACTTTAAATGGAAGATTTAAAGTGATGTTTAAATCTTCCATTTAGGCCCCGCCCACTCGATCGGTTCAGCGATCGGTATCGGCCGATACTGATTCCAGCGATCGGCCCCGAAATTGGCGATCGGAGCATCCCTAGTTAGTATGCCAGCTAATTAACATAAATACATAAGTGTATCATTTAATATTTACAATAGGAGGTTATTTTATACTAATTCAGTTCCATGACTAAAATAAGAAATGTTGTAAGGTCTGTTAAGGACTAAGAACTGAGAAAATGTTTGCAATCATAATAAACTGCTGATTAAAATGTTAAAGTTATGAACTTGTATGTAACTATGATATATGAAATGAATGTGTGTGTGTGTGCACCTCTGTAGTGGGGAGCTCAGTATGACCTCCACCAGCTGTGTGACTCCCTCCAACACATCCACTGTGGCGTCTCTCACCTGTCGTCGCAGACTCACACCTGAGGACACACACACACACACACACACACACACACACACACACACACACACACACACACAAACACACACACACACACACACACACACACAACACACACACACACACACACACACACACACACACACACACACACACAGCACACACACACACACACAGCACACACACACACCACACACAACACACACACACACACACACCACACAACACACACAACACACACACACCACACACACACACACACACACACACATACACACACACACACACACACACACACACACACAACACACCCACACACACACACAATAAGCAGGTATACAAGAAGCTTCACGTCATCCAGTCTTTCATGTTAACTCTTAAATCAATCCCTATTCAAACCAGACTGGATGGAACATGATGACCTGAATGTAAGTAAACGATCATCAGCATAAACCGAGGGATCGTGCTGTTCTGCTGAACGGATTCCTGATTGTTCTGGTGGGTTTACCTTGGCTCTTGGGCAGCCAGTAATACACAGTGGACAGAGAGAGGACGCTCTTCAGGATCCACTCTGACAACTTCTCTCCATCCTGCAGAGACAAAGGACAGGTAGATTTAGAGAGAGAGAAATGGAAAATGAATGTTGTAGCTCAGTCTGTAGAGACTTGGCTTGGGAACCGAGGGGTCGTTGGTTTAAGATCGGACTAAAAATAGGTAGCTGGAGAGGTGGCAGTTTGCCTTCTGGGTACAGAATTTGAATGTGTGTGTACCTACGTGTGTAATTGTAAAACAACACCAATGTGAAAAAAAGAACGGCCTCTCGAGATGAACAAAGGTGATCTGAACCCTTAAGGTACTGCCCATTATATCCATAACTACAACTGTAGAGTGTTTTATTATTTCTTGATCCGTCATAAACGTGGTGATGACGTTGGAGCTTCATTCAGTACCTCTAATCCAAGCTTTGACTGTAAAACAAAAAAAGGAAGAAAAAAAGACATTTGGTACAGCCCCACCCGAAAATGATTTGACCTGTTGTGAAGGCAGCGGGGGTTTGGAGAATGCCACGCTGAGTTTAGTGGCTTCCTGCGACACCGCCTTCACCGCCTGGTCTGAGGACAGGAGACACAGTTACATCACAATAAAACTCTCCCAACACATGAGTGGGCTGCATCCTCCTGACCATTACATTAATATTGGTCGGTAAATATTTGCCACACAATCCTGAAGTCAGAGCCATAATGAACTCAAAGTCTATATTAAGAGTAATAATATGTGTTTGATGGAATCTTTCATTGAAATGGCACATTTCTATTTTGGTATTCATTTAAGTGACGAGCTGGGTTATGACAACCAATGAAACAGTTTTTTGACCGTGATCTAAGAGTGCAAATTTGTATACAGTCCAAAATATATTTTGAGTTTGTTTTTTTACGGGTAATTTTCAGAGTTGTTTTTAAAGTCGAGATATGTTGTTAATAAAATACAATTTTATCTAAGACCTGTGGCTGCTTATTATTTTGGATTGTGTGTCGTCGTCCCTGCTCTATAGTGGCTTTATGGAAAGCTACAGTACTATACCTGTGTGTTGGCAACATCCCCTTATCTAAATACATAAATACAACAAAGAATCACCAATGAGCCTGTCATCTAATATTAAACTCATGAAAACATTATTAGAAAACATTTTTTAAATATATGATACGTAACGGGTGATATCAGAAAAAGACATCAAGGATAACAAAATGGGAAATGTTGCTATAGAGAGGGTCTTAATGGCAGCTGAACAGGGAGCCATCATATTATGGATGACGGTCATAATAATAAACCAAACTCAACTCAGAGTGTCCCAGAAGTTGGAGAGGTCAAACGCTCCACCGGACTCATTGGATTCTCCATCTGAGGAAGAAAATAGTTATAGTTTGGTACAAATCTTCCCTTTTCAAGATAAATTAGCAAATTTAAGAAAAACATTTAAAGACTGATTTTGTTATTTACTTTTGAAGTCTTAAATGAATCAAAAATTTTAAAAAATTAACCCTTAAAAGTCTTACCCTTCATGTGTTTTTCTATGCATACATTTTAATTTGTAAAGTACAGTTTCTAGACAAATGTAGTGAAGTAACAACACAATATTTCCCTCTGAAATGTAACCGAGTTGAAGTAGAAATTGGCATGAAAAAGAAAGACTTAAGTAAAGCACAAATACCTTAAATTGGTACTTACTCCCCCAACTTCATTAACTGACAACTTGAATATTTATGTCAAGCTGCTACAAAGACTTAAGAACATTGACAACTTGATAACAGTTAAGCATAAAAGCAAGAAGGCATACAACTGAATTTATAAAATGTTTAAAACATGTATCCATGCGGAGAAACCGAGCCCAGCATACATTATAACGTTTGCATGTAATGAAAAAAATAAGCGTTTATATGTATATTTAGAGCTCGGTTAGCTCGTTTAGCTTGAGCATGCTAGCTATATATATATCTATCTAAAGGCCGTTATCTATGTGCGCTGCGTCATTTCTAATGCGTCATATTTACCTCTGACTCGGTCTCTCACACACTGGATGGAGTTCAGTAGATTTCGTAAAGGCACAAACACATTTCCAACTGAATTATCAGCACTCATGTCATCAATTTTTTTTAACAGCGTTAAAGTAGTAGCGTTAGTGCGTGTTGTGGAACTACAGAAGAGCAGTATTTTGATCCAGGGACGATTCTAGATGAAGCACCGACACTGCAGTCTGAGAAAAACACGCTTTTGCGACACCTAGTGTTGAAACAGGAGTACAAACTACCTAAAATATTGTGTTTTATGAAACCGTTTTAAATATGAGCAATATTAGAATATATTTTCCAAAGTAAGAAAAGTTGAACATTTTAAAACAAACAACTTTATTTTGGAAAAAGCTACTAGTAATTTGGCACATATTACATTTTTCAATAATTCCACTGTACAAATCTCTATAGGCTAAATGCTTATTTCCTGTCCTGGTAACCGTAATTTATCAATGATGCATTGTTAGATAATAAACATACATAATATGTATTTTATTTTACTTTATATCAATACTATTTTATGAATCACCTTAAGCATATTCTTCTTCACTGGTCTTTAGTTCATAAAAAAAAATGTCTCTGTAATGTTTACAATAACTATCATTAGTTCATGGTAAATACATAGTAGAACAAACGTACTTTTACAAACAAAATGATAATAAACAAAAGGTAAAATAAAAACAAAGATTTGAGTGAATCTCAAAATGAAAGGCTCTAATTTGGCTGCTTGGTGAAAAACAAAGCTCCGGACCCGATTCCCATCAGGCACAACACCAGACTCGCTCCAAATAATCCAGCAGCAGGACTCAAGCGGCTCTGCCTCTCCTTCAGCTCTGTGGAAGGAACCAAAAATAAATTCTAAAGGTTAATGTATCCAGGAATTGCATTTAATATGCACAAGCTTTGGTCCAGAGCAGGGTATATTGAGTGTATAATAGGTACATGAATCCTCCCTTTAGTCTTAAAAAGTGCTTCCCTTGTTCTGATCTTTAATTTAACTCTAAGCCTTTAGGTGAATTCCCCAAAATGTATTTCTTTTTTATTCAAATGTACTTGGTGAGGTTTTACTCAAGACCTCTGCTCAAAACATCAGTCAATCGTGTTATAATAATATGAAATGGGTTAACATTTTTTATTAGATTTTATTTTATTTCACACATTTTTGTTGAGTAATTAATTAATTAATGTATTATTAATATTATTATTACCAAGTAAGGATTCAGATTGTTGTCATGCCTGTTATATCCTCAATAGAGATGCCTAATGTATTTGTGTGTGTATTATTATAGTACTCTACAATAATCACTAACTGACTCAGTTCTGATGTTGCGGGTGCAGATAGTGATGGTATTAGACATTTTGGATTCATACCGTAAATGTAACTGAACTCCCCCTTTATAATAAACATGTTATCATAATTATTTTTGATTCTACAGCCCTCAGTTTTACCCTAGCTCCTGGAGAGAAGCTGAGGTGAGGCCTGATGCTGGGCCGAGCAGGAGTAACGTGGGTTACGTGTTGTAACTGTGGGCTGTGGGTCAGTGGGCATCTGACCCCCTCCCCAGACGTAATGCGCTTACGTTTTTCCCGGGCCCCGGTCCCGGGGGACGTGGAGCGCACTGGGCCCATACGGGGCTGGAGGACTCTTTCCCCCTACTTTAGGCAGGAGGGGAGAGCCCTCCACATTATAGTCCATACACACTCTTCACGGGGTGAGCGTGTCTGAGTGTGTGGGACATGGGGCACTTGCGCTCTCCACGTGCTCCTTAGGGACTCGGGAGAGGTGGTGTACAGCAGTGGCGTTTTCTCCCGGAGGCCAAGGGAAGCCAGGCTTCCCCTGTTTTTTCGGATTGTAGTTATAATTTAAATAAATAAATAAAAACACTTTGTTTTGTTTCGATAATTCTCCTTTGCTGTGTGTTGCTGCCGGCCCGTCTCTCCCCCATTCTCATTGAGTATTTTACAAAGAGTGAAACAAACAGCGCCCCTCTAGATGTTATGGTGAAACAGTAGATTGCACTCACTGTTGCGAGAGGAGGCCAGCCGAATCTGGCTTTCCTTGGTGAAAAAAAATGGAGGGATTGACCAATCAGATGAGGCTCACGTGATGCCCCAGCCAACCTGTGATTGGTCAGGGCCATGCCAAGGGAAGCCAGAGGCAGCTGGCTTCCCTTGCCTCACAATCCAATCAAACCGCATCAATTTAGTGTTGCAGTGACGCATCCTAAAATCCGGAAGTAAGCTGCTCTCGGGTTCCTTCGACAAAAAAGTAATGGGAGTTCTCCATAGGATTTTGGAAAATAGCTCGAAATAAGGTCAGTGGAAAACGAACCCGTTTGATAAATGCAAGTTTTGTTCAGTCGGATAATATCCACATGTCTACCCTACTTTTATAATTTTCGAATCATAAATCTAATCGATAGAAGATAGATAGCGTCACTGCATCACTCTCACCGCCGTTAGAAAGTAGCAAGCAACTGAAGCAAGTGCAATTATGGAGGGTGGAGATTTGGAGTATTTCATCAAAAGTAATTGTACTAAACTTCCGCTACAGCAGCAACAACAAATACAATCTGATGACAGGCCAATGCCCAAACTGGAGCTGTGTACAGCGAGGAAAAAAGGAACGAATCGGACGTAAAACGTTAAAGGTCTCCTGATTTAGTTTGTGAATTAATGCTTATTAGAGTTTCGGCTGGAGAGTGCGTGCGGACCTGTCGGTTAGATAACAGGCGTGTGTAAGTCCTGCATCTGATAACAATGTGTGTAAAATGATACCGGGTGCTGTAATCACTCATCTGGTTACGTTATTACATTGACCACCACACCCCCGACCCAAAAGAAAGGACGTATTATTGGCTTCCCCTATTTTTTTTCCCACGCCACGCTACTGGTGCACAGTGAGCCTCGATATGGGGCTGAGGACTCTCTCCGTCCGCCTATGGGCGGAGGGGGGGAGCCCTCAGCCCTGTTTTCCTAGCACACTTTTCGCGAGGTAAGCGTGTCAGAGTGTGCTCTGTCAGCCGCGGCCCAGTCTTCTCCACGGTCACAACCGAGGGTGCGGCTGCTAATCAGAAAGCCGGTCAGGGACAGTGGAGTGGAACGATGTTGTTGGACGACAGCGCGTGTATACATCGGGGCTCCGCCCACTGTACCCATAGAGTCAGTGGGCGGAGTAGTAGTCAGATAGCTACTCCTGCTGATTTTAATTCTAGATCTAGGTTGGGATTCATTCACTTAAATGTGCGCAGTCTGTTACCTAAGTTAGATTTTGTCCGCATTTGGGCGAGCTCGACTGATGCTGATGTCATTGTCTTATCAGAAACGTGGCTAGATAAATCTAGCCTCTGACATCTACTTAAATGGTTATAGTGTATATCGTACCGACCGTCCTAAAAAAAAAAAAAGTTTTGTGTAACCAAGATGGTTTCCAAATCTAAACAACTAGAATTTTTAGCTTTAAATATCATAGTAGCAAAGGGTCAACAGGTCATGGTGGTGGGCTGCTACAGACCCCCCTCAGCTGTCAAGGACTCTTTATCTTCTTTGGCAAAACTTTTATCTCAACTTGACTACAAGGAAATAGTGCTGCTTGGTGATTTTAACTGGGACTGGTTAACTGCAGTGTCAGAGGATTTTAAAAACCTTTGTATCTCTTTGAATGTTACTCAGATTATAGACAGTCCTACTCGCCCTAACATTAAGTCCCCAAATAAATCCTCCCTAATTGATCTCATTCTAACCAATGTTCCCCATAAATATTCATCTGTGGGAGTATTTGCAAATGATCTGAGTGACCACTGTGTTGTAGCCACAATTAGGGACACTAAGGTCCTAAAGGGTAAACCTCGCATTATCAGTAAGAGAGACAAAAAGCATTTTGTGGAGCAGGGTTTTGTGCATGATCTGTTTGGGTTTCATTGGGGAAAAATCGATCTGTGTGCTGATGTTGAGACTGCATGGTCTTATTTTTATCTTGGTTTTATGGAAATTATAGATAGACATGCACCCCTGCATACATTTAGAGTGAAGGGACGAGACAATCCTTGGTTTTCTGCTGAATTATCTAGTCTCCTACATGAGAGAAACAAGGCCTGGGCAAAGGCTAGGAAATCAGGCTCAGAGGTAGAATGGCTGCGTTTTAGGCAGCTAAGAAATAGCTTCACTTCACATATCAAAAGTGCTAAATCAAAGTACTATCTGTCAGTAACCACAAAGAACCTGAATAATCCTGGAACATTTTGGAAAGCCATAAAATTGATATCCACCGGTGAGATCTGTAATGAGCTACCTCCGTGCATTACCACAGCATCTGGCTCTATATCGGACAGGGCCACTATGTTAAATTGTTTTAATGAGCATTTTGTGTCCTGTGGTTCTCTTTTTGATTCTGTCACTAACTCTGCTTCTGTGAACACCAAAGTCTGTGACTCTGAAAAACGTGTTTTGGAAAACCCTTTTAGTTTTACTCCTTTTACTGTTGATGTTGTTCGTGAAACTTTAACTTTAACCAAGTTAGATCCTAAGAAACCGGCCAGCCCGGACAACGTAGAGCCTTTCTTTTTAAAGATAGCTGCAGATTTTATTGCTCCACCTCTTACTACTCTTTTTAACCTCTCCCTTAGCTCAAACACAATTCCAAAATTGTGGAAGTCAGCATATGTCTTGCCTTTGCTAAAAGGAGGGGAGGCCACCTTATTAAATAATTATAGGCCCATCTCTAAATGATCAGTTCTGGCCAAGGTTCTTGAACGCCTAGTGAGCGAACAGGTAAAGGTGTTTTTATGTATGACATTCTGTCTAAACATCAGTCAGGCTTCAGAAAACAACATAGCACCATCACTGCCACAATGAAAGTGGTAAATGATGTGGCGAGTTTTTTAGATAATAAGCAGAGTTGTGCAGCTCTATTTGTTGACCTGTCCAAAGCGTTTGATACCGTCGATCATCGCATCTTAAAGCAGAGGCTACTCAGTATTGGCATATCCACACTCTAAAAACAAATGCCTTGGCTCAACAAAGAAAATCAACGCAACAGTTTGCATCGATGTTTATTGAGTTAAGACAACTTCTAATGAAATTGTCTGAAAGCAACAAAGTTATGAGTTAGTGGAGAAGGC